AAGAAAGAATTTAACCCAATTGATTTTAAGAATTTACAAAAGGGAGGATGATGAATTTGTAAAAGAGGAGTTAAAGAGTGTGAGGGAGTTTTAAATTCTGTAGTAGGTTAGTATATTTTAGCTTTTGCTTGTTAAATGTTATACCCTGTTTTTGCTCTGGGAAGTCGGGGGGTGGGGAGGGTGGGAAGGGTTGGGTTGGGATAATAGATAAAGGTACAAATATAAAAGTAAATGTGGGGAAAATGTTACAACAAATGAAATGATAATATTAAGATATGATAAATATTGGAGGAGTAAGAGGAAAAAGGATGTATTCAGATGATACACTGATTGATTGATTATATATTGTATGTATGTTTGTTTATAAAAAAATAAAAACTTTTCAATTAAAAAAAAAAAAACAGAAGCAGTGGGAGGAGTAAGGCCAGAAAGTAAAATGCATGGAGATTTCCAGCAGATGCTCCAAATGCTTCAGGGGGCCAAGAATGGCAACTAGATTTTTGACTTGGAATGTTAATGACCTAAATTCACCACAAAAGAGGAGAAAAATATTTCATTATTTGAAACAGTTTAAAAATGATGTAATTTGTTTACAAGAGACTCATATTAGAAGTAAAGATCAAAAATATTTAATAAATGCAAGGTTAGGTATTCATTTTGTTGCATCTGCTCCTGAGTAGAAGAATGGTATAGTTATATACCTAAAAAAAAGATGTAATTGCCAAATTAATTGAAGCAGATGATCAAGGAAGATTTATAGCAATTGAACTTTTAATAAAAGGAGAAAAAATACTTTTAATTGGAGTCTATGCACCGAACCAACAACAGGAAAAATTATATAAGCTTTTACATTCCAAGTTATTACAATGGGATTATAAATCATGTATCTTACTGGGCAATTGGAATGGAGTTTGGACACTAAAAAAGACGAGAAGGGGCTCTTGCAGAATATCTCAACGCGTTCCAGATTGCCAAAATCGTTTTTAGAAATGATGGATGATATGGAGTTGAGAGATATCTGGCGAGAGAGGAACCCCGAAGAAAAAGACTTTACCTTTTTTTCTGATAGACATCAATCCTTCTCTAGGATTGATTTTATATTAATTACTAATGATCTTTTTTCTAGGGTGAAGAAGACGAAGATCTGCCCAAGAGTTTTAATGGATCATAGTCCAGTTTGGATGGAATTAGAGTATGGAATGGGATCTAAGAGGTCTTGGAGGTTAAATGAAAATGTTTAGATATGAGGAAAATGTAACAGAATGTAAAAAATTCATGAGAGAATTTTTCATTATAAATATGCATAAGGGTACATCTATGGAAATGGTCTGGGATGCAAGTAAAGCATATATGAGAGGTATTTTGATATATTTGAATAATAAACACAGACGTAAACAGGAAAAAAGGAAGGATTTAGAAGAGGAAATTTTAAAAAAAGAACAAGCTTTGATATTGAACCCAGCAGACAAGAAAATCAAAGAGACAATTAACTTATTGCGAGGGCAATTTAATATGTTAATGGCAGATCAGGTCGCAATTAATTTGCAATATACTAAACATAATATTTTTTGCAATGCTAATAAACCAGGGAGATGGTTAGCATATTTGTTAAGGAAAAAACAAAAGTCACGGACCATAGAGAAAATAGAATATAAAGGTAAAGAGGTTTATCAGCAAAATATGATTAAAAAAGCAGTTTTAGAATTTTATGCGAGGTTGTATGCTAGTGATAAAATTCAAAGTATAGATATAGATAGATACTTACAGAAAGAGAATATTCCTACAATTACAAAAGAGCAAAGGGAGGGTCTAAATCAACCAATAACTTCCGAGGAGATTATGTTTGCAATTAAGCAGTTGAAAGTGGGTAAAGCTCCTGGGACGGATGGTTTGACAGCTGCTTATTATAAACACTTGCAGTCAGAAATGGTGGGGCCACTCAACGAATTATTTACTAACATACAATCTGGAGGAGATGTACCCCCATCCTGGAGGGCAGCTTATATTTCTCTGATTCCAAAGGAGGAGCAAGATCACACTCAGCCAAAAAATTATAGGCCCATATCACTTTTAAATACAGATTACAAGATTTTTGCTAAAATACTAGCAAATAGGTTAATGACAGTCATGCAACAAATGATTCATAATGATCAAACTGGTTTTATAAATGGCAGACAAATGAAGAGTAATGTAAGGCAAGTTGTTAACTTATTGGAGTATTTGGGGAAGAACAATCAAATCCCTGCGGTGCTGATATTTCTTGATGCGGAGAAAGCATTTGATCGATTGAACTGGCAACTCTTATTGAAAATAATAGAAAAGATGCAGTTCGGAGAATATTTTACACAATCTATTAATGCAATATATCAGAAACAAACAACGCAAATAATAATCAATGGTAGTTTAACAGATACTTTTTACATGGAAAAAGGAACAAGACAAGGATGTCCTTTGTCTCCATTATTGTTTATCTTGACCTTGGAATTTCTGTTAAGTAAGATACGTGGGTCGGATAAAATAAATGGAATTAAAATTAGGCAGTATGACTAAGATTACGAGCATTCGCAGACGACTTGGTTGTTACTTTAACCCAACCATTACAGTCGGTTGTAGGTTTAATGGACACAATTAATCAATATGGACAAGTATCTGGATTTAAAATAAATGCAGGGAAAATGAAGATAGTAACTAAAAATATGACTATAAATCAAAAAGATGAATTAGAAAAACTAACAGGATTTGAAATTGTTAAAAAAGTTAAGTATTTAGGGGTCTACATTATGACATCAAATGCGAAATTATTTAAGCATAATTATGATCCGTTGTGGCAAAAAATACAGAGAGAGATGGAAAACTGGAAAAAATTACAATTATCCTTGTTAGGAAGAATAGCAGCGGTGAAAATGAATGTTTTCTTTTTCAAATGATACCAATACTTAAAAAAGATGAGAATTTGAAGATACGGCAGAAGGGTATTAATAATTTTGTCTGGGCAGGGAAGAGACCGAGAATAAAACAAAAAATAATGCAGTATATACGTGAAAGAGGAGGTCTCAAAATGCCTAACTTAAGACTATATTATGAGGCAGCTGCTCTGTCAGCAGTTAGTGATTGGATGAATTTAACAGAAGAAAGAATATTGAATATTGAGGGATATGATTTGGTTTACGGGTGGCATGCTTATTTATTATATGATAAGAAAGTGGACAAGACTTTTAAAAGTCATATATTAAGGAATGCTCTATTGCATGTCTGGAAAAAGTACAAGTATAAACTAAACGAGAAGTTACCATTGTGGGCAATACCCAGACACGCGATAGAGAATATAAGTGTAGAGCAAAGGCAGGATGTGATTACTTATACAGAGCTTCTTAATAAGAAAGGAGGTATACTACAATTAAAATCTCTGAATCAACTACGAGAAGAAAGGATAATTCAAACATGGTTTCAATATGTACAGTTGCAAGCTAGATGGAGAGAAGATCAGAAAATTGGGATTTTGCAGAATGAGGAGAATTTGGTAAAACAGATTAGAGATCAAAGTCAAATGCATATAAAAAGGTTGTATAATGCATTGGTAGAAATAGATTCAGAAATTGAGTTAGTTAAGGACTGTATGATAAAATGGGCACAAAATATTGAAGAGCCAATAATGATGGAAACGTGGGAAAAAATATGGGTTAGAAATGTAAAGTTTACGCAAGCCCAAAACCTAAGAGAAAATTTTTATAAAATGTTTTATAGATGGCATCTAGATCCTAAAAAGCTAGCCTGTATGTATCCAAGTGTACAATCTAAGTGTTGGAGATGTGAATGTGATGATGCCACGTATTATCATATATGGTGGACATGTAAAAAAATTAAGGAGCAGGGAAGGGGGGGGAGGAGGGATGGGAAAAATTATATTTGTTAAAACTTTTTAATAAAAAAAATAACTGTGGCAAGAAAAGTTGTAAAATGAAGCAGAACTTACTTAACTGTTTAGTTTAGCAATGGAAATTTTTGGCTGAACTGTAGTTGTAAATCAAGGGCTACCTGTGCTTATAGTAAAACTCCTTACAGGATCATCCCTGTAACACAAAATTCTGGGCAGGACAAAATCTTGAAGTGGAATATTGAATAATGGGTCAGCTTATTTGTGAAACAATCTCTACCAAAGCATCACTAGGTCAGAAAGAATGAGCACTTCCAGTCCCTTTTCTTAAAGATTGACATCTGGTGCGACCTTGGAGGCATTCCTTCTCCATAGCTTCCCCTGGCCCTTTGATCTGGAGGGCCCCTATTCTTATGGCCTTTTGGAAGACCAGGAAGACCTGATTTCCCATGAGTTGGGATAAGATGGAAGTGAGTATAGCAAATGTGGCTATCAAGAGAATATAGCATCTCAGGGATTTATGTTGTTTGCATGATAGTAGTAATTTCTACTACCGCATCAAGGTTTATGAAATAAAATGTCAGGCATGCCTCCTTTCAAAACTCAAGAAAGAAAAAAACCCACTCCATTTTCATAGAGAAAGGTACTTTTAAGTATGAACTGAATGCAACCAAAGAAAAACAAGGTCTGAAGCAAAAGGCACGAAAATTACATATAGAAAGCATCCCTAAAGCCTTTCCCCCAACTGTCCAGCATAAATCATCCAATCCACAATTCCCCAGGGGTCATGTAGGTGCAACGTCTGGTGGTGCCATCCTCCTGCTGTGCCACGGCAGTTGACCTTGACTTGTTACTTCAAAGAAACGCTGAAGCAAAGTTTCTCTCTTTTTCTCCACCAGCTCACTTCTCCCCTCCCAAGAATTCCAATAGCTCCCCCCTCCCCCTGTTTCATGGCAGCCGAGCACGCAATGAAAAAGTGGAGGCTGACATAAAGTTTCACTGTATTTCATTGTCTCTCTTTATTTGCATATTGAGATAAAAAAGTTTCTCCTGTTGTATTAACTATTAACAGGACAAACTTTTTCTCCCCAAAGAGTCAAAGTGTATTATATATTTTGTTTTAAAGGAGATAAGAAAGAGGAGAACAGTGATACAGAGGACAACTCAACAGAGAATGATTCAGATGAAAATGAAGAAAGAACCCTTGGTGATACTGCAGATGTCCTAAATATGGTAATGTATTTACTAATGAATGGTTGAAGAGGTCTGCAGGAAAACCTGGAGATACACAAAATAGGAAAATGTATTATTTGAATTGTAACTGTGTGCCAGATTTTCTTTCTAACTATACTGGATCAATTACAGTTCATCAGAAAAAAAAACAACTGGAATGCTTTTGACAGTTCCAAGTATTGAATAACACAAAACATGACCAAGGTAATTTAAAATTAAATTTAAAACTAATTAAATTTTAATTTAAATAAATAAAAAATAAGGATCTGGCACATATGATACTGTTAGATATTCTTACAGATTGAAAATAGAAGGCACTGCAATGCTTTGTTTAGGTGTGCCTACTTTTCCAGGAAAGAAGAAGCTGGAGTGGAAAAATAATCAGAAATGGGATTTCTGTTAGGGGTTCAGGCCAGGAACAGTTTTACCACTTGATTCATGAAATTTTGTAACTGATTGTGCCTGATAATTATAATTACAAAATTCCAGATATGCACATCTGAACTAAAAATGTAGACAGTCTCTGACCTAGATTGGTAGCAGTGTTTATTTTATATCAGGAAAAACATTTTTAAAAAGAGATGTAAAAATTTGCTGCTTAAAATTCAGAATTTTCTTAGATAAGATTTTGTTTAAAATGTATTTCAGGAACTGAGCACATTTAATATTTAGAATTAGGAAAGCAATATGTGCTATACTTTTCAAAGCTACAGAAAAATTAGGCCTTGTTTGAGAGGCATAAGACTGCTAATATTCTCCAGTTATAATAATAATTTATTAAATTTATATGCTGCCCTACTGTACAGGGGGTAGGGAAATTGTAGATATGTGAGGTTACATAATAAGTAAAAGAAATTATCCTGGTTTCCAATCACTCTTTAAAAAGTTATATTTTGTGGATGTAAACAAATCAGTCAAAATAGCCATGACTGAACTAAAACAAAAATAGTCTGGCATTTAGTAGAACTTTTTCCTGCATTTCTCTAATTCTGTTTATTTTCAGATTGTTCAGAAACTGATCTGAGATGTTCTAGTAAAAAAGCAGTTTTCATGTATATAAACATTAATTACTTTCTTTTATTACTACTGGGATAAAAATGTTTTTCAGACCCATGTGATGAAACTAAATCCCAATGACCAATTGGTAGAATTAGCACCAGTTCAAAAAAAAAAGGTATTGTCGGATTGTTTATATATTTCATGTTGCTTATTTTTCATGCTTTTTTACCAGTAGATGAAACCTGGGGAACCACTGGCCTGCAGATTCAATGCACTCTCAAAGGTTTTAACAACTTGCCCATGGCATTTCAGATGCAATCCATCTTTCCCATGATCCCTCTCTCCATCTTGCCTTTCTCCATATTTTTTTCATCTTTTATCAAGCATTCAGGAGAAAGTTGGAGAGTGATGGTTTCCCATATTCTTTAACAAACAAGAGAACTAATCCATTCTTCCCTGTGTGCAAAAAAGGCTTTAAATGATCATCTTTTCCCTCCCTGTATGTGTAAGCAATCTTTTTCTCAATCTGATGGATTTACAGGAGATAGGATTTCAGCAGAGGGATCCTACCAACCGCAAACTTCTGTTCCTTGATTATACAGGTTTGAAATGAATAAATTGTTGTACAAAACAAATGATGCACAATTTTGAGTGGCCTCAGAATATTTTTTCTGCATTAACACATTCAGATTATGTAAACCTTTATATTCAAAAAGCAGTTTGAGCCACCTACCTTAATCAGTTCAAACGATAAAAACAATTCTGTTTTTGAAAATATATATTGTAGGACATGATAGTATAGTTTTAATTTTTTTCCTGCTTACCGGATATAACAATAATAATAAGATTATATCAATGCCTTAACTTGGCAATAATGTGAGAAAACAAATATTGCAATATTTATTTGCATTGTTTTATTAGCTAAAAATTACTTTCTTGCTTACCTCAACCAAAAGGTTAACACAAGTCAATTGCTAGAAGAAGTAGAATGCAATTTGCATAATTTTATGGGGGGGAAAAAACTCAAGCCAAGAGACCGCTGATATGTCAATGAAAGGATTAACATGCTGTGTTTCCAGTTAGTACTGCTAAAACTTTAAACTGCCTATTGTTCAAAGTATTGTTTTACTTAGTTTCATGGAAAGTACTTTTGTATAGGGGCAGATGATGGGAGGAGAGTAGGTACACACTAATAACTTTTTATAAATCTTAAATCCTAGATCAGTGTCATAATCTAAGTGATTATGTTACAAACATGGAATTCTCCCACTATTAGAAGCCACCTGGGTCATATTAAAAGAAATATTGCTGAATAGTAATATTTGCATGCTTTAAGTTAAAATAAAATAATTGCATTCTTTACATGCAATAAAAGTAAGTTCTTTTGTGCAGAAACTGTATACATGCATGCTAGATAAGTGTAGCTGACAAATAAGACAAGTATATTTTAAAACTGAAAATCAGAATTGGCAATTGTATCATGTTAATGTAAATGTAACCTGAAGAATAAACAAGCAGATTGGAATGTTTTATAATCCTGAATTTTACAACTATTTAACAGTAACAGAGTTGGAAGGGACCTTGGAGGTCATCTAGTCCAACCCCCTGCTCACACAGGAGACCTTTAGTAGGGATTCGAACTGCCAAACTGCTGACTTTCTGATTGACACCTAGCCAGTTAATGTAACAAATTTAAAGAAGTGTGGAACATACTTACAAGTAGTTCTCCAGTTATGACTGTTTGTTTAACAGTTTTCCCAATTCTGATTAAAAAGTGCTTCACAGCCCATAAAGTACTTCCAACCGTCATAAAATATATATTTTAGAAAAGCTGCTGCCATCTGCTATGGAAAATGAGATTCCCTCCTGGCAGGCAGCTCTGAAGGCAAAGGGGCTACTGCCAAGGGGAGAAGAATTCCACTGTTAGGCTGCAGAAACAGAAGTCAAATCCTAGAGATCTGAGCTCCATTTTGACAGCCCTTCAAAGGAGTTTTCCACCCACAGAAGGGAGACAAACTCTTCCAGTTGGCTGTAGGGAGAGAGCTAGGATCTTGAACTGTTCTTTTATCTGAACTATTTCTCCACCCCGCAGGAGTTGGTTTCCCCTCTATGCATGGAAGAGAACAGATCTAGTGGATTGCCTACCAAAACAATTCTCTTCCATCCATGGAGGGGAGACGAACTCTAGCAGGAATGAGAAATGAAGCTCATATCCTCGAGATCCCAGCTGGCAGCCCACCAGAGCAATTTCTTTCTGTGCATGGATGGGAGCTGAGCTTGGCAGGCAACTACTTTACTCCATTTAATGACTCAGGAGATCAAGTGTGCCAGTTTTTAGTCATTCATGAAGCAGTCAGGTGGATGATTTGCTTAACAACCATTTTGCTCAACAACTGAGCTTCCAATCTCAATTCTGGTTATTAGTTAAGGACTATCTAATATGACATGAGGATTATAATGATAAAACTAAAGGTATTTGGTGAAAAAATATTTCTGTTTGCACAAAAGCATTTACCTTGCCTCCAGGACAGGTCAAATTCTTCATTCCATTATAGTTTTTATAACCTGATTTACCCTGATATGTTGACTCTGCTAACATGCAGAAGCCTATCATTATAAAGCATAGGAACCTGAAGCAGAGAAAAGAGTGTAAGGGTGTCTAAAGTGGTTCATGCTTTTTAGATGTTAGTGTTACTGTTTTAATTTTTTGATTTTGCTATATTTAAGTATCTTCTCCATTCTTTTATTGTCTGCCATTTTCATCTTCTGATGCCTTTTTATTTGCCCTTACTTTGTTCTTAATTCTCTTCTTTCTTTCTTTCTTTCTTTCTTTTTTTCCTTGCTTATCACATGGAGTAGAAGAAAAATAAGAATATGAAACTGACAATTGATGGTAAGGGTGGGTTGAAAGACTCTGATCATACCCAGTTTCAGGATTGCTTAGAGTCTGGCAGATCATCTTCTCATCTGGAGTCTTTGGCATCAAAAAGTTTTGAAAAAGGTTTCTCTACCAAAGAAAATAGCTATGATGCTTTTGTGCAGAAAGTTAAGCCTCATAAAAAGTATTCAGGAAATATATCTAAACAGCTTTCTATTATTTCATTGAACCATGAACCACAACAAACTGTAAAAGAAGAATTTAAAGTGACAAAAAAAGAAAAATATTGACAAAATAAATTCCGGGCCAACTCAGCAAGCAGTGCTACTCAGCCATTCTAGTAATGATCAGCTGGAAAAACAACATGAAGATCATCAGAAAAATAAAGTAGAAGCTAAACCTGATCAATATATTATGCAAGGTAACAATAGTGAAAAACAAAAAGAATATAATAACAAAGAAAGAATTACAGAACAAATAGCAGTAAGAATGCCAACTTCCTTAAGTCAGGAAATGATGAATAAGTCAGCAACCTATGTTTTTGAGATAAACCAATTTAATTTTGAAAATGTGACAACTACTGAAACAAGAATAGAAGACAGAAATAATAAATGGGAAAGCAATCAATTTGATTATAAAGAAAAGAAAAATTTAAAAGGTAACAATATGCAAAATGAAAAGAAAAATATGGATAATACATCGGAGAAGGATACCCAGGAAGAAAGTCCAGAAAATGACCAAGGCAATGAAGAAGATAAAGTAAATGTGGAAGAGGCTGAAAGAGGAGAAAAAGAAAGTGACAGCAAAGAAAAATCTGAAGAACTGGAAGTTGAAAATGAAGCAGGTGAAGGCATGGTGGATGCTACGATAGACACCAAGTGTAATGAAGGAGAAAGTGAAAATCATGAATTACAACCTGAAACAGAAAATGAGCAGAATCTGAAGGAAGAGGAGAACTTTCAGATAAAACAAAAGAAAGATGACACAGATAATAAACTGCAAGAGATAGAGGAAACAGACATATATGAGCCAGAAAAGGAAAAAAATCCTAACATCAAGAATGACCAAATTAACGACAAAATGAAAAAAATGGAGAAGGAAAAGGACAATGAAGAAATGGGAGATGAGAAAGAAAACAGAAAATATGGAGAAGTAGAAAAGGACAACGAGCAAAATTATGAGGAATGTGAAGATGGAGAGGAAAGTGGTGATGCTATGGTGATAAAGGAGAACAGCACAAAGGAAGAGAAACCTGAAGAACAGGATCAGGAAGAGACTGAAAGAGAGGAAGAAGGACAAGAAAAGCAAGAGGGAGAAATTGAAACAAAAGTAGATGAAGAAAGTGTGGGATGTGAAGAAGAGAAAGAAGATGAGGAAGAGGGAGACAATGAAGAAGTACAAAATGACCCAGATATTTATGAAGGGGAAGAAGAACAAAGTGAGAAGGAGGAGCAGGAGGAGGTGAAAGAAGAGGGGGAGGAGGAGGAGGAGGAGGAGGAGGAGGAGGAGGAAAAAGCAGCTGAAGAAGAGGAAGAGGAGGAGGAGAAAGAAGAAGAGGAGAAAGAAAAGGAAGAGGATGAGAATGAGGAGTTGGAGGACAAAGAAGAGGTGAAAGAGGGGGAGGGGGAGGAGGAAGAGAAAAAAGAGGAAGAGGAGGAAGAGAAAGAAGAGAAGGAGGAGGAGGAGGAAGAGAAAGAAGAGGAGGAGGAGGAGGAGGAAGAGAAAGAAGAGGAGGAGGAGGAGGAGGAGGAGGAGGAGGAGGAGGAGGAGGAGGAAGAAATTGTTGAGCACGAAAAGGAAGAAAAAGTAGACAAAAGCCCCAAAGGTCAAAAACATAAAGAAAATAATGAAAGGAGAAATCAAAATACAAGCAGCAAAATAAAAAACATTAAAGAAAAAAGATCACTGAAACAAGCAGTGAATAGATTTCAACACACACATGAATTTTGGAACAATGTTTTACCACATTACTTGACGCTAAAGTAATCCTGGAGACTAGAAATAATTTTTACATGAAGGTCTTTTTCAGAAAGCTATAGTATAATGTCTATATACAATACCTGCATTAATGAGTGCATGTATGCATATACATACACACACACACAGAGTATATATATGAAATTGATTTAAAAAAAAAACCTCATCCCTTGAAACTACTCTTAAACATCTAGAATGTGAGTTTCTTTCCATCTACATAGGATAAATCTCACCAAATCTCCTTGGTCATTAGAGCCAGAATTCTTCATAAAATATTAATTTCCCTATTTTGAAGTATAATTCCATTTCATATTATTATT